AACTTCTGGTCACACCAGAAGTGACATCAGAACATTGGTATGCTGGCAATCCCCCCCCCATTTCACCTTTTCCCCTCCCACCTCTCAGCTATTTTTATTTTTATTTTTTTTTAATTAAGATTTATACCCCGCCCTCCCCGCAGAGCGGGCTCAGGGCGGCTTACAAGGGGCAAGCCCATATAAAACATATAAAAGCAATAAAACATTCATGACAGTTAATAAAATTATACTCAATTTAACAAGATGGTCTCCAGATGGTTCTCCAGGGTGATGTTATTCTATAGCTCAACCAGGTAAATCCACTGGCCACGCAGAAATTGTGGCAGATCTTCCTGGGCCATCCTTACCCCGATGTTGTCTACCTCATTGGTGGCGGTGGTAGTGGTGGCCCCTATGTGAAAGCCTGGCGGAAGAGCTCCGTCTTACAGGCCCTGCGGAACTGCATAAGGTCCCGCAGGGCCCTGATCTCCTCCGGGAGCTCGTTCCACCAGGTAGGGGCCACCACTGAAAAGGATCTGGTCCTAGTCATGGCGAGCCTTGCCTCCCGGGGGCCTGGAACCACCAAGCAATGTTGTGCCCCGGACCGAAGTGCTCTTGGGGGTATATATGGGGAAAGGCGGTCCCTCAGGTAAGTCGGACCCCGGCCATAAAGGGCTTTAAAGGTAAGTACCAGCACTTTGAAGCGGATTCATGGGAACTGCACCTGTGTTTTGTCTGATGTTCTGCCTGGTTCTCATGGACTGGGCGCGCAACCGTTTCTTTAGCCCGCCAGCGGGAATGTTATTCATTGGATCTGTGTCTGTTTGAATTTCCTTTATTATGCTTGCCCTACCTGTGTATCCGCAGTTCTAACAAAGAACGTGTTTGAGTGTCTTTCCAACGCTTTGAAATAAATTTTGCTTTTCTTGAAAACGTGGATTTATTCTCGATGCTTGGGGATCCAACAGCAGCCAGGCCTCGTGTGAATCATGCAAGTCAGGTGGTCTCAAGTCACCCAGAGGGTGCTGCTAGGCCTAGGGTTGCCAGCCTCCAGGCAGGACCTGGAGACCCCCCCAGACTCCAGACAACTTCAGACAACAGAGATTTGTCCCCCTGGAGAAAATGGGTCGACCCAGTAGCATTATATCCAGCTGAGGCCTCTCCCCTCCCCAAACTCTGCACTCCTCAGACTTCACCACAGGTTCTCCAGGAATTTCCCAACCTGGAGCAGGCTGCCGTAGTCCCAGGCCTGGCTCCAAACCAGTGTTCCCTCTAAGCTGAGTTAGTGTGAGCTAGCTCACAGTTTTTTAGCCTCCAGCTCACACATTTTTGTCTCAGCTCAGGAAGGATGGCTCCAGAGCAAACTAATTTATGCAGGAGCTAAATTTCTCGCTCACAACTTTAATGCCAGTAGCTCACAAAGTAGAATTTCTGCTCACAAGACTCCACAGCTTAGAGGAAACATTGCCCAAACCCCATGTTATTTTGCCATTTATACTGCAGGGGGGAATCCTTCCCAGTCTGAGATCCAGACCTGCTTTTTGCTTCCCCCCCCCCCCACTATCAGCCAGTCTCTCGCTCACTGTTGATGCGGTGGGACCTGGAGTAGATCCCTGCAGCGGCCATTTCAAAAGGTATTAGGAGGGGATTCAACCCTCCCCAAGTTTGTTTGTTTTTTACTTTTTGGATTTTTCTGCAGATGCACAGAGTTCCCTGAGTTTGTAGAAAAACCTGCAGAAATAAGTATCTGTATGCAGAAGGGACTGTCGAGAGTTAGATATATAGATTATATATGAACTCCATACTAGATAGGAAAGAGGAGAGATAGATTCTCTAAACTAGACTAACAAACTAGATGGATTGAGAGACAGAAAAGCATCCTGCTCTCATGTTGCCAAGATAGATTCAGGCAATGTGTGTGCAGAGAGAGTGAGGAGAGAGAAGCCGGAAGGAAGGAACTTTTCCCTTCAAGTAGTAATCTACACATCTCTCTTGGCTCTGTTGCAGTCTTCCTATGTAGTGTGAGGCAGGAGACAGTGGCCGAATCTGTATTTGCATTTTTAAATCAGTTTCGTGCTGCTGTTTCTCTATGCTTGTTTGAATGTTGTTTGGAGAAGATTCTTTTAAAGCAGTGTGGAGGTGCAATGACAGTGGAGCTGCCCCGAAAGCACAATAAACATATGTGGATGTGCAAAAGTATGCTAGCACTCTTGAGGTGTGAAAACGACACCAAATGTAGACAGCGTTTTTGAAGACAGAGTCAAAAGGCTGGGACACTGGTGGGAAAGACAAATGCAGATTCCGCCAGTGTGAACAGTCAGTTTTATCTTCTACTTAATGAAACACACCATCCCCTATATGTGCTAGATTTTAAGAAATACATTAATAAAGTAAGTCCCCCTCCCAATTTTTTCCTTGCTAGATAAAAACACCTCATAACCTAATAGGATGTTATACGTTTGTCGTCTTTTCCCCCTGTGCCTTCACCAACTACATGATGGACAGAAATCCAGCAGCCGTAGATCACCGTGCCTTCAATGCTAAGCTGACCTGGTGAATGTCTGAATGTCATATAATTGACAAAAGCATATCTCTTCAGTCCACCTCGAATAAAAAGTGTTAAAAACTAGCACGTTCTTTCAGTTGTATTAATTTTGAGACGTGTTTCACACATTTTATAACTCAGCAGAAAAACTGCCTTGTTCTGGTACTTGCTCTTCAGGCACAGCGCTTGAACAGCCAGGTTTAGGAACCCTTTTTTATCACCAACTGGAAGGGGATTTAGAGAGCTTTCGAGATTTCAAGCAAAAAGAAGGGAGGGGAGTGGCCCGACAGGTTCCCTGCTAAGAGAGAGATCCTGTGAAGAGTTCCCTGCTAAGAGAGAGAGAGAGAGCCAGTTTGGTGTGGTGGTTAAGTGCGCGGACTCTGGGAGAACCGGGTTTGATTCCCCACTCCTCCACTGGCACCTGGCTGGATGACCTTGGGCAAGCCGTAGTTCTGATAAGAGCTGTTCTTGAAAAAAGAGTAGTTTCTGTCAAGAGCTCTCTCAGCCCCGTCTACCTCACAGGGTGTCTGTTGTGGGGAGGGGAAGGGAAAGGAGTTTGTAAGCCGCTCTGAGACACCTTTGGTTAGTGAAGGGCCGGGTATAAATCCAATCTCCTCCTCTTCTTCTTCTGTGTAGGAGAAGCCCATGGACAGAGCTGAGCGATTTCTGAGGACAGACTGGGCTTTCTACTGGAGAAGTACAATTGTTCCTGAGGAAAAAGTAATACCGTGTTAAGGTTGCCAACTCTGGGCGGGTAAATTCCTGGCGCTTTGGAGAAAGTGCCTGGGGAGGGGAGGGGCCTCAGCAGGGTACAGTGCCAGAGAGTCCACCCTCCAGAGCAGCCATTTCCTCCAGGGGAGCTGATCTCTGTCATGGGGAGGTCAGCTATAATCCTGGGATATCTCCAGGCCTTACCTGGAGACTGGAAGCCCTAGAAGGGGTTAAAGAAGTTGGTAGGCAAAACAGCAGCCATTTTCTGGGGGTGTGTGTGAGGACTTTTGTTCCTCAACTCCAGTGGAACTTCTGCTGCTGTGAGGGAAAACGTGGTCCGCAGAACCAACCTCTACAAGCATCCCACACTGACAGTGACTCTTCTAAAAAGACTTCTGCCTACCTGCCAAAATCCAGAGAGAGCATCCAAATCCTTCTGGAGTTTGCTCCCCAGAGACTAAGGAGATCTATTTCTTTCTTCGCACTGACTTTGGGACTCGTCCGTACATTCCTGGGTTACTGTGTACAATATTTCAGTCAAAACTCCAATTAAGTCCTTTTTAGGAGAAAGGAGACTTTAAAATGCGATAAGCAAAGAAATCAAACGCCCTGTTCCTATTTCCTTTCCCCACCTTCAAATAAAAGTTGTTGTAGGTGTAAATGGTGTGTGCAACAGCAGTTCCGTGACCAGCGACAGTGTGACGACCAGGCCTTTGTTTTGCCAACAGGGGTTACTCTGAAAGGGTGCTGGCAAATAAAATACACAACTAAAATTAAAAGCTAATGAAAACCAACAGCAATTCTTTCTCTTCCCTTTTCCTGCGGCAACGGCCCGCTATTTAAGGAACCTTTCCCACTCCACCTGTTAAGTTCAATTTAATTTTATGCATTCCCTCTCTCCAGAGTGAAGTCAAACAGGGCCGTCTCCTGCAGCAGCCTCCACACCCAAGCATGGAACACTATTGGCACCGGATCACACCACTGAGCTAAGAATAAAACAGAACAAAGCCCGCGAAAGCTTATACCTTGAATAGAACTCTGTTGGTCTTCAAGGTGCCACTGGACTCCAACTTTGTTTTGCTGCTCCAGACTAACACGGCTACCTGCCTGAATCTATAAATTTAATATTTATACCAAGCGATCCTTCATAAGAAATGCCGATAGCTAGATAAACCAAACCAGATGCAATGCAGGAGATCCGTGATCGGAGATATAGTAGGTTCTGGAGAGTAGCATTGGGGAGAGGGTGTTTAACCCCCCTCCCTCCCACAGCATGATTTCTACCATCTAAACCACTGTCCAAACTGCTACTAGACATGTCGGAGGTACCTGCATTTTGTTTACTCGTTGGCAGGGCCTTTTTTGTAGAAAAAGCCCAGCAGGAACTCATTAGCATAATAGACCACACCCAACAGCAGAAACTCATTAGCATATTAGGCCACACCTCTGACAACACAGTTCATTAGCATACTAGGCCGTACCCCCATGTTACCAGAAGTGTGGTCCCACCTTTTGCTTCTTATTCTGTTTACCTTGTTTGTTGTCAACACCCAGGGCTTTTTTTGTAGCAGGAACTCCTTTGCATGTTAGGCCACACACCCCTAAAGTAGCCAATCCTAATGAGTTTCTGCTGTTGGGCGTGGCCTATTATGCTAATGAGTTCCTGCTGGGCGTGGCCAACTTGGGAGCCAGCCGGAACTCCGTTCCTGTGCGTTCCTGTCCAAAAATAGCCCTGCTCGTTGGGGTTTAAAACATCTTCATGGGGATAGAGAGATAGGTGTAATTTAGACTGGGGAACTGGACCAGGGAGAAAAGGGCCAAATATCTAGGTTACATTACTAGAAATCACTCTGCTTGAAGGGTGGGAGGAGAAGAGGAAGTGCTCTTTCTTTATTTCAGTTGTGCTTGTGCAAGAGAACACCATGATAGGCTGCCCTAAATGCACTAGATTCTGCACAATAGCAACTAATGGACACTTGACTTTGACTCATGGATTTGAAGAGTACCACTTGTCAGCTTTCAACTTCAGTTGATTTCCCGAAGCGCCATACTGAAGCCTTCTAGGGCCTCTCTGAAAGACTGCAGCAGAACGGATCCCAGTTCATCCCCCGTTTCTTGTACCGCTGCATCATAGCTGCCAAAAAGCGGCGTAGCAGCCTTGATGTCCTCACGCTTGGCCTCCAGTAAGATCATGTGAAGTTCCTCTGCTATCCTCTCATATTTCTGGTGATCAAATTTCGAAAGATCAGCTTCTTGAATTGGGTAAGTGATGTCGTTTGGATAGCAGTCTTTCGGGACTGGGAATTCGATATATTTCAGTCTAGGAAAGTCAATGAAAATATTGAAAAGGCATTTCAACCCTCGAAAAGACAGAGGGTTCCCGAGGAACTTCAGCTCCTCCAGCTTCCGGCAGGGGACCAGACCCAAAATCAGCATGTTGACATGGATGTCTTGAATGTTGCACTCCTCGAGGGTGAGGCTCTTCAGTGTGTGAGATGAGTGGTTCAGAAGTTTGAAGAAGGTGGATGGGTATAGGTCAGTCACATCATGTCCACTGATATCTAGGACTTCCAGGTGGTTAGAATGAAGACTATTGGCTAGATAAGCCATATCGGCATGGTTTAAGGAGCAGTTAGAGACATCCAGCACTTTCAGAGGAGTTTTCAGCGGGCTGAAAAGTTAAGTGCAAGAACAAGAGTAAAAAAACCCTGCAAAAATCCACTGGATATTTATCAAATCATCATCGAGTTTACAATAACCGTATACACAATGGATGCCACCTGCACCATCAGTGAAGGGAGATCAAGTTTTGTTGACATCACTAAAACTTATGTACGGGTGCGGTCAGACGGCATGCTGGGAGCAGTTTAAATTGCTCCGGTCCCAATGCATTTTTCTTTAACCTGGAGAATCGTGATCACACTCACCTCCTTGTTCCGAATCGCTGCACAGCCACATCGTTCCCCGCCGTCCACATGCGGGAGCGTGCGTTTGTGTTTTTTTTCTCTCAGTTTGCGCATGCGCACAGGCGGCCATCTGTAGAATTAACATTTTCGCGCAGAACAGCGATTTCCACTTCAACCCAACTGCTGTAACACTTCCCTTTAAACTTTAAAGGAACACTTCCCTTTAAACTTTACCCTGAAACTGGCCTCCATGAGATCCCGAACTCATCTAACCAACAAAACTAGGCACCGTTTAAACATTGTTTTTAATAACACGGGAGCAGAGCTTCACCTGTGTGCATACCGCCAACGCTAAAATAAAATGGTGAGTGAAGAGTGGAAGCCTCGGGCTTCTGAGCGGAAGTGGCTCAACACCGCAGGAGCGATCAGACATCAGAAAAGTGCGTCTAGAACCGGAGAATCGGGAAAACACCACATGGGGACCAGGTAACAAAATACTCGGTTTTAAAGGGGGTTTGAGTCGGAAAGTGACGGCTGGGGACGGTGCGCAGATGTTGGGTGTGTGAACGTGGATATAAAATCCGCTACTGAAGCATGCCGAAAGCGGACTAAACGGCCCGTCTGAACGCACCCTGTGAGAAACGAGAGGCAGGATTATGGACACAGAATCATAGTACCTGTGGGTTTGCTTTCTTTGCTGTCAAATCACAGCTGATTTATTGGCGACCTCACTGGGTTTTCGGGGCAAGGGACGTTCAGAGGTGGTTGCCCACTGCCTGCTTCCACATCATGCCCCTGGCATTCCTTGGGGGTCCCCCGTCCAAATACTACTAACCAGGGTCAGCCCTTCTTAGCTTCCGAGATCTGACAAGATCGGGCTAACCTGGGCTATCCAGATCAGGTACCAACAGGCTGTAAGAGACCTCAAAGGCTTTGCTCCTCACCTGGAAAGTTATGCTGTACTTAATTTTATTGATTAGTTCATAGGTTAGGACAAGATGATCAAACCAAGATAAACCACTAAGGAATAAGAGCAGACACGGAGAAGGAAGTAAACTACAATCCCCTCAGTCATGCAGACTTTGAGGTAGGGAAGAGGACTCCTTCCATGGTTCACTTAAACCTCAAGAATAACACTCAATGTATATGAGTCATCTCCACCCAAAGGTAAAATTATCAATGCTTCATCGTTCCTTAGAGGAATTAAACCTCCTAACCACTTAATTGCCCTGACTTGGATGGCCCAGCCTAGCCCGATCTCATCAGTTCTTGGAAGCTAAGCAGGGTCAGCCCTGTTAGTACTTGGATGGGAGACCACCAAGAAATACCAAGGTCTTGACACAGACGCAGGCAATGGCAAACCACCTCTGAATGTCTCTTGTCTTGAAAATCCTATGGGGTTAACATTAGTCACCTGCAGCTTGGCAGTTTTCACTGCCACCAGCCTCTTAATAAATAGTCCAGGGATTGCTTAGTCCTCCATCATTTGGGGATCAAGTTTGATGAAGCATGGTTATAAACAGGGGTCACTTCCTAGAAAAAGAGGTAAAAGGTAAAGGTTCCCTTGCTCGAAAGCCAGTCGAATCCGACTCTAGGGTTGCGGTGCTCATCTCCGTTTCAAAGCCGAAGAGCCAGCGCTGTCCGAAGACGTTTCCATGGTCATGTGGCCAGCATGACTAAACACCAAGGCGCATGAAACGCTGTTACCTTCCCACCGAAGTGGTACCTATTTATCTACTTGCAATTTCTTGCTTTTGGACTGCTAGGTGGGCAGGAGCTGGAACTAGAGACGGGAGCTCACTCCATCATGCGGCACACTCGGGTCTCGAACTGCTGAACTACCGACCTTCCACAGCCTGCAGTTCAGCAGCAGGCTGGCTGGAGACGGGGAGGACAGGGAGGCGGACATGCCTGGGTTTCCTGCCTGATCTTCCTAGGTGCCCCGCAGGTGCGAGGCACCTGGAAAAGATCGGGCAGGGAACCCAGGCATTTAAATCCCCCCTCCCTGAGTCTCTCTGCGGTCGGGGTGCGGGGCCTGGGCTCCTTACTGCTGGAGCACCACTCTGGGGCACTGCGGCAGGAAATGACCCCTGGGTATAAGATTCAGATACATTGAAACAGAAATCACCAACTGTAACGGTTCCTTGTTTTATGAGAGTGTATGTGCCTTTAAATGCTTGTTTGAAGAGCATGGTGTTAGACTAGAATGATTGGGAGAGAGAAATGTGCTGTGATTGGTGGATGACAGAGTGTGGGAGGGTTTTTTGAAGTGAATCTGTGTGGGTGTGTCAGAATGTCAGTTATGAAAGACAGTTAGGAGAGTCAGTTAGTGAGAAGCAGTGGAGTTGAAAAAAGTTCAGTTGATGTTGTTCTGTCAGTGAGAGTTCAGTTTGTTCTGTGTGGTATCTGAGAGAGAAAGAGCAGCATATATCTTCAATAGTGAATCTTTAAAGTTCTTAAAGAAGTTAAATTTACCAAGAGATTAAACTGTGTGGTCGCCTAAGTGAGAGATTCCTGTCAGGACTAAAACTGACAGTGTGTGATACAGTTGACAAATATATTTACAAGAACCTTATTCCCAGCCAGTTACATAATAACCAACCTCTTGTTTTGTTCCTCTTTCAATAAATCCAATTTTATTTAAATATGTCCCAGAAGTCATATCAATTCTTCCTCAGGACCACATTAGATCCTGAAAAGTCTAGACCCTGTGTTACCCTACCAGTAAGAGAAACAGAGAGAAGGTTTGGAAATCCTTAAATTCCTGGTGGCAGCCAAATCTACCCAGTTTACAGAAGAGCATATTTAAAGGGAAAACTAGTTGCAAGGTCTATATTCTAGTCATTATAGGGTTAATCTATATACCTTGTGTGCTATTATTTAGACTGACCTGGAAGGGAAACTTGACTCAAAGCCAATGGGAAGACAGCCCGGGAAAACCTAAGTCTGTTTACTAGCAATCATTGGTTACTGTCTTCAGGTGAATTCCTTCTAGGGGTCAAGAAGGGAAATCTCCATTGTTGTGTGACCATGTGTTCTGTGCTGTAAGCATGTAAAAATGTAGCTCTAGATATCTTTGTTATTTCGTAGCTTTCCATTTGAACCCTTTCCCTTAGAAATAAAGCTTTTTACATAGAAGAGAAATGTCTCCTCTCCAGTTGAGCAAAGATCCACTGCAAACTCTGAGTATTTAAGTATTTTTGCCTATTTCCCCCCATGCTTATCACTCCGGTAAGAATGATTCCAAACGACCTCACCTGAGCAGTCTGCGTATCCTTCCCGTGAGGGGGGAAAAGGGCAGGCTCAGCTCCGTCAGTTGGGTCATCTGGCTCAGCTTCTCTCCGGTGCTTGCAAGCGTGGCTTCGTCCTCTGGGGTGAATCTCCTCACGTCAAAGGTCCTCGCAGGGAGCAGGAGTGCCGTCAGCCGAGGAAAGTGGACGTTATTGAACAGCACCTGCAAGTGCTCCATCTCCAGCCGGACGTTGTGGACCACTTCGAATCGGCGCAGCAAAGCGGGCTCCGCGAGCTTTATGATGTAAAAGAGCTTGCGGGGGGCCAGGTTGTCCACTCTGAAGGCCACACAGCGAATCTTCAGCGGGCTGTGGTGCCTCAAGAACAAGGCCTGGACGGCCAGCTCGTAGCTTCTCTCGGTAACAAAGAGGTCGACGAGGACATCGACAGAGATCTCGGAAAGGCCGGGGCCGAGCTGCAGCCTTTGAATATCGACAAGCAGGTCGAAGCAGATCTTGCAGAGCAACTCCGTCCTGGCCCAGCGCCCCAGGGCCTTCTGACATCTGCAGAGTTGGACTTCCACATCCTTGATGCCCGTGAGGTCCACCGTTCTAAGCCGCTTTGCATAGGGAGAGGAGCCATTCAGCACGTAGTCTCTCAGGCCGGCCAGACAGCTGGACAAACACACGCAGCAGGCTCTGCTGCTGAGGTCCTCCGGGTGGTCTGCTGTCCTGCCCAGCAGTTCCCCAATGTTCAGTTCGGGCAGCGGCCAGTTTTCGACCAGGTCATGGATCACGTCGCCCTGCTCCTGCAAGAAACTGGCCTTAAAAAGAAGGGGGAAAAGGTTGTGGGCGACGCTGCTGAGATTCCTCCTGATCCGCTGCGTGTCGGACACCAGAGCCTCCGCACTCATGAACCGCAGGGAGCGCATGGCTGCCGTCCGTCTTCTTCTGTATCCAAATGGAGGCACTCTCCAGTTTGGCAGTCTCTATTTTTAGCTGCAGCTGCCACTGTTTGGGTGGGTGAAGGGTATGTGGGAAAGCAAACTGAGACGTCACATGCAAATCTGATGTTACTGCTTTGGTGCCAGACCCTTGACAAGTTTAATCCATGGACATTTAATTTATGCGCACACAATCGCACTGACATCATCTTTTGTAATCACAAGTTTCTTTTAAATCTGTGGCTGAGAGTTAAAGAGACCCGTCTGCTGCAGTGAAACACATACACACAAGAATTTTTTGAATAAATATTATGACAACTTACATGCAATCAAACTTATTTAGAGAGGGAGGCAGCTGTAAAAATCAATACCATTTTGAAGACTCTTGTTTCTATTGTCAGTCTGTAAAATTCTTGATATACCATACCTTGACATAAGTGTTACCTCGAATAAAACTTTGTTGGTCAAGGAAAGAGGAGGAGAAGGAGGAGATTGGATTGATCCCCTGCCCTTCACTCGGAGTCTGAGAGCGGCTTACAAACTCCTTTCCCTTCCCCTCCCCACAACAGACACCCTGTGAGGTAGGTGGGGCTGAGAGAGCTCTTTCCAGAACTGTCCTTGAGAGAACAGCTCTGACAGAACTATGGCTTGCCCAAGGTCATCCAGCAGCTGCAGGTGGAGGAGTGGGGAATCAATCCCGGTTCTCCCAGATTAGAGTCCGCGCACTTAACCACTACACCAAACTGTAGATGCCACTGGACTCAAACTTTGTTCTACCGCTTCAGACCAATATGGCTACCCACCTGAATCCATATTTGACATGTTATTTGCACATTTTAAAACTGTATATTCAGTATCTCCCAGCCTAAAAAAACTCCCAAGGCAGCTTCCAGTATACAATACAGAATCAAAGCCATATGAAAATATCTAATACAATAAGACAACGTATCTTTCATAGAACGGTCCATAATATCATGAAAACAAAATATAAAGTCTAAGAGAGGAAACCAACACTGCTGTCCAATCACACAAAACCCAACAAGTCAAATAAAGCAACTGCAACATTGGTTCAAAGCCTGGGTAAAAATAGGCTTCTTTTTGTTGTTGTTGCTTTTCCTTCCCCCCCCCCCCAAACTGAAATTTTTATTAAGTTTTCAAATTTTACGACTTTACTACAAAGCCAAAACAAAAATGTAACTATATAAAAAATTTGACAATACAAACATTTTGTTATAACATGAACTTACTCTTTTACATCTTTACAAGCTTACTAATAATAACTACCTTTATAAGTTTAATAATACATAACATCAACGTATTTTTTTGGTAAAGAACAATTTTTATTCCCTGAGGTTGAAATGTAATAAAAAAAAGGAAACCACTTTTCCAGTTGTTGCTTTTCCAACCAGGCACCTAAAGCTAAGCAGATTCAGTGCCAGTCAGGTCTCGGAGAGGATAGAATTTCAGGGGGTGAAAGTGCCAACGCAGAGGGACGACCCCCCCCCCCGGTTAATAGCCAAGTCAGCTCTGCAGGTTGGCATGGCTAATAAGGCTGGTTTGGAAGATCTTAGCCCCTGGCTAGAGGTGTACTGAAGCAGGTGATTTCCACATCATTTAGGGCCTCAGATCATTTTCTGTTGACAAGGGTACCGCAGTCCCACTGGATCAAAGCAAAGGCCCATCTAGTCCAGCATCTTGCTGATAGTAACAAGTGACCAGATATTTTGAGGAACGCCCCAAGCAGGTAATGAAGACAACAGGCCTCTCCTGCCATTTCTTTTCAGTATCCAGTATTCCCATGTACACTGACTCTGTACATGGAGGTTCTATGAAACTATCATGGCTAGTAGGTAAAGGTAAAGGGTCCCTTGCTCCAAAGCCAGTCAAATCCAACGCTAGGGTTGCGGTGCTCATCTCCGTTTCAAAGCCGAAGAGCCAGCGCTGTCCGAAGACGTTTCCGTGGTCATGTGGCCGGCATGACTAAACACCAAGGCGCACAGAACGCTGTTCCCTTCCCCCCGAAGTGGTACCTATTTATCTACTTGCAATTTCTTGCTTTCAAACTGCTAGGTTGGCAGGAGCTGGAACTAGAGACGGGAGCTCACTCCGTCATGCGGCACACTCGGGTCTCGAACTGCTGAACTACCGACCTTCCACAGCCTGCAGTTCCACTTGAGCCACCGCAGCTCCTCATCGCTAGTAGCTACTGGTATACTTGTTCACCATGAATTCTCCTAATCCTTGTCGTCTGAACTTGATCTACCGTTTCATGAACTGACTGCACAAGAATGTGTTTTTTTTTAATGATAAAACAGGACACACCACAGTAGTAAAAATGATACAAATCTTTTCTTTATTGTTCCATTTCAAAAGGAGTTATACAAGAAGGTTTCCTGAATAACAAAAAAAACCCCTACTTGGACAGAAGTTGCATATAAATCCACGGTTCTCCAAGGATGCGGTAGGTCTCCCTATGAAAGCGCAGAGACACTTGGCTAAAGGAAGCTTCAGTCCTTCGCCAACTCCATGTGTTTGTGACACAACTAGGCAAAGAGCCAAATGGCCAGACTCCCAGACAAAGCAACACAGACAGCTGTGCTGGCAGTCTTGGGTGGTTTTCCTCCATAGCCCAGCATCGTGTACACGGGACCAAATAAAAGAACACGTTTATTCTGGAGGATCATACCCAACAAAGGATGAAGGAAGATTCAGGTTTCGAAGCATTCAAAAGGGGTTCTTCACCCACTGCATGTGTCCGGCTCCCTTCTCTCTTCACAGTCTGTACAACAGGAATATCTATCTATATATCTAATTCCGAGCGTGGCCCCAGAATGTTGATCCAAAAAAATCCACATGATAGGGCCCTGTATAGAAGGGGGGATTTTTCTACACATCTGGGGGAATGCCCAGGTTTGCAGATAAATAAAATAAAATAAAAGGTGAGGGGAGTTTACAGAATGCCAACCGAGATCACACAGAACCTTGTGAGATCATAGGCAATAGTGAGGTTGCCTAGCAACCAGGGCACTGGCGCCTGGGCCTTGGTAAACCAAACAGGACAGAAGATTTTTTTGGGGGGGAGAGCAGCGGCGGCTGAGAGAAGAACACCTTAGTGAGTGGGAGGGGGACAGAAAGTAGAGAAAACGCTGGGAAGACCAAGTAAGTGGGGGACAGTGTGTGTGTGTGGGAATAGGATTCCCCCCCCCCGAGTCTCACCGGTTACTAACTTGTAATCTATGAAACCAAATCATTTTCAGTTGTGCCCATCCCCTCATACGTCTGGCAGCTGTGCCCACCTTTTAAAAATATTTTAAAGTGCCACATAACACGTGTATCCCTTTATGTGGTTGTCATTCACCTTACTTAAAAAAAACAACGGGGACAATTAAACAAACAGCTTTAGCAACGGTTCCAGGGACTGTTGGGGAGGTGCCTGAATGTCACAGGCACTAGGCTGCAGGCACTAGCCAATCAGTGCTTTCCAGAGCCGGCTTTTGCTCCACCTTTTCCCCCACAGTGCTCAGCTTTGGATCCGTTTGGACTAAATGTAGTGAAAGTATTTCCAGACTCACCCCCAATGTTCCCTCTAAGCTGTGGAGTCTTGTGAGCAAAAATTCCACTTTCTGAGCTACTGGCACTAAAGTTGTGAGCAAGTGATTTGGCTGCTGCATAAATTAGTTTGCTCTGGAGCCATCCTTCCTGAGCTGAGACAAAAATGTGTGAGCCGGAGGCTAAAAAAACTGTGAGCTAGCTCACACTAACTCAGCTTAGAGGGAACACTGCTCACCCCATTACTGTATAAATGTTACATTTGTCTTCACCTAATTCATACACAGTAATGTGACTATGACAGCGATGATATACTTTAAGCATGTACACATACACAGTGGCAAGGATTCTTAAGAGTTGACCAAAACTGCACAGGCGACACATATAAGCCCAGTAGAGATTTCCGGGGCTGTGTGAACTGTGCTTTAAAAAAAAAAAAAAAAACACACAGATCAAAATTCTGTACCTAAAAAAAGCTGAATTCTGCAGCCTGTATTTGCATGTTTCCTCTTTTTTTTGCATTAATTTAGTTTCCTTTGCTAGCCACGGAAAGGGGCAAGAAGCTATGAAATATTCCAAAGCCTGAGCACTGGAAACCCTATTCAGTCACACACACACACCCCGGCTTTCCAATCCACCTTTATATAGGGGTAGAAATATGGAACTAGGATTTTCAGGAAGCAACTGACACGACAGTCTGCAGTTTCCCAGGGCTTGTACAGAATCATGGGATACTCACAGCCTGAAGACACCTGTCTCTATGTGCTTGGCTGGTCCAGTATACTGCCTGATCCCATCAGGTCTTGAAAGCTAGATCAGTATTTGGACGGGAGACCACCAAGGAACACCTGGGTTGTGACGCAGAGGTAGACAGTGGCAAACCACCTCTGAACCTCTCTTGCCCTGAAAACCCCACCAGGGGTCGCCATAACTCAGCGCTGACTTGACGGCAAAAAAATCCAACCACCCAGGACAAAATCAGGTATCACGTCTCTTTAAAAATCCTCTTGCTGAAGTCTGAATAACTTTTGTTCTCAGTCCGGAAGCTTAGTCCGAGCCTGCTTAAGAATCTCCAGCATAAATTATTACAAATACATTGATCTGTTTTTACTATTCCCATCTTTTAATTCAAGTCCGCATATGCTCTCTGCACAAATCAACCACCGACTGCTGGGTGTGTGCTGGTTAGGAATTTAAAACAAAATACTTCTATAAAAAAAGAACAACTCATATGGTGACACAATACAATATTTACAGGACGGTCAATGACAAAAAAACATTTTTTAATTGTACACAGATTGCTTTCTCCATTTACAGGATTGCCAGAAACATAGTGACACCTAAATCTCATCAACCATATACAAAATACAGGTCCAAGCTGAAGAAAAATGTAAAAAACCCAGAAAACTGTACTTCTTACATACAAACAATGATAAATTCCCCTTCCCAGGAGAATGCCCGCTGGAAT